TGCTTCAGTGTTTCCACTGATTACCGCTCATAGCTTCCCGAAACAACCGCTACGTTATGAACTGGTGCGCAGCGAGTAGCGGGCTCATAGGTCACGCTCAGCTGACATGTACCCATGGCTTTTCAATGCAAGTATGACCGAACAAGAGTTAATCCAGAATTTATCACCAGCAAGGTCAACATCAACAGTACTCAATCCAGCAGCTGATCTACAGACCATTGGAGAGATCATGGTTGATCTTGCAATTCCCCAGATTCTGCTTTTCTCTGCAATAATGAAATAGCAGATCAAAAAAGCAGCGACATGAGAAGAGAGGATGAGACAATCTTACAGTTCCACTGTCACTTTCGTAAAGAGATCAACAAAATGGTGACCAGGGGAATTCCGGTTTCCAAGAAATACATCCTCATGCCGGAAAGCACCAGAATAGCGAATTTGCCAAAATGGTTAAATCTCCATGCGGAAAATGATGAAACTTCGGGCGTCTCATCATGCGACTGCTGAATGTCTTTATGCTAAGATGCTCAGAAGAAATCCAAAAGTACAGACAAGAAGGAACCTTCGCCTACTTCAAAACATTCCAATTTTCCACTCTAGGTCTGCGAATAGGAATGGATCCAGATCTCTTTTCGCCAAAATATGCATCATTACGCCAGCTGACCACAAGCAGAAAAAACAGACTTACAGAACAAGAAATAAGAAGCACTACTAAAAAGAAGCACTTCCAAAAATCTAGTTGGTAGAACAACCGCTACGGCATAGATCATGCACATCATAAACATTGTAATGTAATCCTTCCTAATACCGCCATGAACTTGGAATATGCACTAAAGGATTTAACACTTATGGTCAGGGTGTCACCCAACATTGGGCAATATTATCGCCACTGCACGATGCTGATCCACTCCCAGTGCTTTTTACGTGAATTCGGAATCGCAATCCCCTTTGATTGCGTACTTCACAAGAACAAACGCTTGAATGAGGCGACACAAGTCAGCGGACTTCTTCACACAGAGGAATGGAAGACGAGGTTAGGATGAGCAAGATCCAATCCTACTCGGACCACACATGGTGAAGACGTCACCTACCACTGCCCCAGATTCATTCCAACAACATTTGGAACCTTTCGACCTTCCTCTTACACAACTAATACGCGCTACCAAAACAGGGGAAAATTCTCAAGAGGTTAAGAATTCCATTTCGTGCTCTAATCAGTGGTACCTCATGTGTGAATTTATAAGGCCGTGCTTGACAAATGCTAAGGATATGCCTCACTGCTTCGTATCCCCCCCCCCCCCAAAATACTGAAGGACTCAAAACACTCAAAAAAAGCATGAAGATTCCTTAAATAGTTTAAGTATCAAACTGCATGTATTATATTTAGGATGTGAGACAAAATAAATATTAAATATACAAGGCAGGGATAGCCGAGTGGTTAAGAGGTTAGACTCATGTCTGCACCTCCGAAAACCGCGAGTTCGATCCCTGCCGAGGCTAACCATGCCTTGCAAAAATTGCAAAAATGGTTCTAGTACCAGCGTCAGGCCCAGGTTGACAGGCCGGCTGATGAAACCCCAGTCACACCAACATGTCTAAAAGTCGCAAAAGAATCAGTGATAAAGCTAGGACGTCACCCGGAAGTGGCGCGCAGAACCCCCGCCCGAGTTCTGTGGTCAGTATGCGAGGGCTACCGAGGAGTGAACGGCCTCGGCCAAAGAAGCTAGTTCGAATGGGACTCTGAACGTAGGATCGCTAACTGGGAAGTCCCGAGAGGTTGCTGATCTGATGACGCGCAGGAATATCCAAGTCCTATGCCTTCAGGAGACGCGATGGAAAGGTGCTAAGGCCAGGGAAATCGGGGAAGGTGTCAAACTCTACTACAATGGAGAAGACACCAAGCGGAACGGTGTGGCCATAGCGGTAGCGGAGTCGCTCAAGGACTATGTCTCCGCTGTGAACAGGATCAGCGATCGGATCATGGCTGTGAGGATAGACACGAAGGAGGGGTACTGGACCATACTCTCCGTGTACGCACCGCAAGCCGGATGCCCCGAAAGTGAGAAGGACGAGTTCTATCTCAGCCTTGACGAATGCCATCAGAACGATTCCGGAAGGTGATTACCTGACCATAGCAGGTGATCTGAATGGTCACGTCGGCAGTGACAGAAGAGGCCTGGAAAGGGTGCACGGAGGTAGAGGATAGGAGTGAGGAACGCCGAGGGAGAGAGGGTCCTGGACCTGGCTACGGCCCACGATCTGGCAATCTGCAGCACGTTCTTCGCGAAAAGGGAGACTCAGAAGGTCACCTACAGCAGTGGAGGACGACAAACGGAAATCGACCATGTGCTGGTAAAAAGATCATCCCTCAAGAACTGTGAAGGATCAAGGTACTCCCTGGCGAAGACTGGCTCCCAGCACAGGCCCTCCTGGCAGACATAGCCATGGACCTCCCCAAGAAGACAAAGGTAAGAACCGAGAGGAGAATCCGGTGGTGGAAGTTGCACCGTGCAGAGAAGAGTGACCTCAAGCGAAGGATAATGGAAGTTGGTCTCCCAGATCCTGAGGGACCAGTGCAGCAGACTTGGGGCACTGCAGCTGAGATCATCCTACGATGCGCCAAGGAGGTACTGGGCGAGACGCGAGGTGGATTCAGAGGAGACAAGGCAGCGTGGTTCTGGAACGAGGAGGTCCAGCGAGTCGTGAAGCAGAAGAAGGAAGCATACAAGCGCTGCAGAAGACCCGGAGCCCCGAGGACCTCGCTGCCTACAAGAGTTGCAAGAGGCTCGCTAAGGCTGCCGTCGCCAAGGCAAAGAACACGGAAGATGGACGCCTTGTACGAGAAGTTGGAAAGCAGAAACGCAGAGAAGTTCGTCTTCAGACTGGCCAAAGCCCGGCATCGGGCTACTCAAGATATCAGGGTGGTGAAGAGCGTGAAGAGCAGCAACGGCGCCATCCTGAGGAAGCCAGCCGAAGTTCGGAGGAGGTGGGAAGAGTACTTCAGAGGTCTTCTGAACGAGGAGTTCTCCCACAAGAACAACTCACGGGCAGAGGCCACAGCTGGTCCCATCGCACTCTGGACAGAGGATGAGGTTCGGTGTGCACTTGGGAAGATGAAGGTTGGAAAGGCAGTTGGTCCGGATGGAGTACCCATAGAGGCTTGGAAGGCCCTGGGAGAGCACGGGGTGAGGTGGCTCACCCGCTTCCTGAATACGGTGACTGCCGAAGGAAGGATGCCGGATGCCTGGAGAACAAGTACTATCGTCCCCATCTTCAAGCAGAAGGGTGACGCGATGGACTGCTCCAACTACCGCGGGATCAAGTTGACTGCGCATACCATGAAGTTGTACGAGCGCCTGGTCGACTCGAAACTGCGGGAGCTGGTCCCGATCTCCCAGGAACAGTTCGGGTTCATGCCCGAAAGGTCTACAACGGATGCCATCTTCATCGCTAGGCAAGTGATGGAGAAGTATCGCGAAAAGCGCCGGCCTTGCTACCTAGCCTTCCTCGACCTGGAAAAGGCGTTCGACCGGCTACCGCGAGCAGTGCTATGGAGTCGCTCAGGGAACGAAACGTGCCAGAACACCTGATCTCTCTGGTGAAGGACATGTACGAGGAGCCAAGGCAGCATACGCACCCCACACGGCCTAACGAAGGAGGTGGACATCACGGTTGGGGTGCACCAAGGGTCAGCTCTGAGCCCGTTCCTCTTCCTCCTAACACTAGATGTCCTGGTGAAGGGGCTCATGGAGGGACCACTGAAGACCATCCTCTACGCTGACGACATCGCCTGATAGCGGATAGCAGAGAGGAACTTCAAGCCAAGGTGCAGAAATGGCAGAAGTCCTGGCAGAAGGTGGGCTCCGGCTGAATGTCAAGAAGACCAAGTTCCTGAGCTCCGAAGAGGGTGCAGAGCCGATCGTGGACGGCCATGGTGAGACCATCGAAAGAGTGGAGGACTTCCGATACCTTGGGAGCGATCTGGCAGCCGACGGTAGTGTGGATCAGGCGGTGAAGGCTCGGGTCAACGCTGCATGGATGAAATGGAGGGAGTCCACTGGAATCCTCTGCGATCGAAGGTGCTCCAGAGCGCTCAAAGGGAAGGTGTACCGGACAGGTAAGGCCTGCGATGCTCTACGGCAGCGAGTGCTGGCCCTGAACAAGAATCACGAAAAGGCAGCTTCACTCGCTGAAATGAGGATGCTGAGATGGGCCTGCGGCTGGACGCGGCTGGACAGGGTTAGAAACGAGGAGTCAGAGCGGTCATGCAGACTGCCCCTGTCCAGCTGAAGGTACGGGAACAGCGTCTGCGATGGTATGGGCATGTGCTAAGGAGGCCACAGGACCATCCGATAAGAACAGCGATGGACTTCGAAGTGCAAGGCAAGCGACCGCGAGGAGCCCCAAAGAAGAGGTGGAAAGACGTAATCAAGAAGGACCTAGTGAAGGTCACGGCCACGAGAAGATGCCCTGGACAGAGCAAAGTGGCGACGACTGACAAAAACAGCGGACCCTGCGACTGCGCGGGACTAACGCTAGGGAGAAGAAGAAGAAGAGAATAAATATACAACAAACCTCCAGCTCCTCCGCTTCCGTGTCATAATAGCCGGAGACCCCTTCCGGAGTGGGCACCTCCTGGAGGTAATCATGGCACTTGTTCTGAACAAGTACAATTAAAAAGAGCGTGAAAATTGGAAACAATAACTGACTGTTGATGACAACATACCTTATGCTTCCCACCAATGGAAAATCGTCCTTGGAAGAAGTGTCCCGCTTTGAAAACATGGTTTGAGCAGAACTCAGCTTCCGTATGATATTGAGTTAACCAAAGACGGTATTTTCCCTTCTTCTTATTGTACGTTTCAACCATTGCAACCTGAGGATTATTTTTTAACAACGCTAAAGAAGATCCCGCTATGTAAATACATGAAGGGTTGCTCCTAGAGTTGTTTTCAACGACTTGAAGAAAGGTCATAGACCGCCATGGCAAAATATAAAAATTGTAGTGGAGATTTGGGAAAAGAGCGGGAGGTGGGGAGGGGGGGTTGAAGTGGGGAGGATAGCGGGGACATGGCAATTTTCTTCCACTCGCTCAGCTCTGTCTCATGAATACTTTAAAGATCACAAATGGTTCTAAATGAAATCAAAAAAGGATGTTGGTGGCAGAATTTCAGCGGAACCCACATACATATGGACACTCAAGCAGGGAGACTTAAAAAAATAAGAACTGTATTGAGCAATAATGGGTAACAGTCATTCTGCTTGATGCTAACTTAGTTGGGGAACCACGCGGCGGTGCGACGTTCTGTTCGTCTGCTCTTCCAAGGCTTAGTCCGCCGATGGAGCGTTTCGAAACTGCCACGTGGCGACGAAATAGTAATTCTGCCCTGGGGCGGTATTCAATCCTTCCCCCAGGGGGATATATCCCCCTACTCTGATTCAATCCTCTGGGGGGACAAAAAAGGGTTGCGTCATAGGACCTCGCATACCTCTGTGTTTCTACCTGCCAGACAGTTAGAGCAGACCCCTCAGGGGAAAGAGTGCTTCATCAGTGGAGGGTAGTAGCGCTGCTCTAACTGTCTGGCAGGTAGAAACACAGAGGTATGCTAGGTCCTATGACGCAACCCTTTTTTGTCCCCAGGAGAGGATTGAATCAGAGGAGGGGGATATATCCCCCTGGGGGAAGGATTGAATACCGCCCCTGGACTAAGCCTGAGCAGACGAAGAGAGCGCCGCGCCGCCGCGTGGTCCCCCCCCCCCCCAACTGAGTTAGCACCTTCTGCTTCACATAAAAAGAAAATATTACTGGAATCAGAGTAAAAAAAATAGTCGAATTACACACATCAGTGACCCTTTGTCGCACGTCGTCATCCACGGTTGTATCGAGCGGTTTCGCTGTTGCGGTGGTAGATCCCTGAGCACAAGCTGGTACTACACGCTGCGCTTCTGGGGAGCTTCCTTTTACATTGTTGGTATCAGGCTGATCAAACCATCTGGGCACAGTGGAATTCGGCCGCCGAATAGAACCAGATGGTCGACAGCTCGGTAGCGGTCGCTTAGCCTTCGCTTCTTTACGAGTGTGACGAGGACCCCAACTCTGAAAAAATATTATGTGAGGGCTCAGCTCGAGTCTGCAAAGCAATATTGGGAATGATGTCGTAACCATGTCATTCAGAATTAGCTTAATGTTCACATTGGAATTACAAACTGAAAATCTGGAAGTACGTTTGGTAGATTTAAACATACATTTTGGACAATTAGAGGCACAGTTCTAATAATCTATTTAACAAAATCTGTCGTAGTAGAAGAGACGTTCGATTCTCTTCCTCGGCCAGATCACCAGAACTGTGCGCTCATCGAAACCTAAGATTAGGTTCCCAGTACGACGTCGGAACCGCTAGGGGGAGGGTGTGCCTCGAGCCTTGCGTCTGTCGAGTAGCTTACAAAATCAAACGCTTTGAGACATTTTCCTCTGAAGAGAACAAAATTGTCAGAAGATCAGGCCTATTGATAAAGTTCCAATTATCAACCCTCGTCTGGCATAGAACAATTGAGCAATTCGCTTAAGTTTAGGCTTAGAGTTAAGGCTTAGACCTACTCCACGCCCTGCCTATAATTAGGTTCAAAGGCACGCTCCGGGATTAGACGCGTCGCCTGTTCCATCCCGGGAGTAGTAGACAGGCGGACAAGCGTTGATGTCGCGCCCCTTTTGCCGCTTGAAAGTGCGCGACAAAGGCGCAAGCAGCTCGTCCGACCCGCAACTCACACCTTCGTCCGC